GCACTGCCTCTTCAGCCAGCATCTCCAAACTGTTCCAGGTTCTTCCACATGCCAATTCCAAACACTCTTGAACCATGTGGTCAGTTATAGGCACAGTAACATCCATCTTCACACCAAAATCTGTCTTTTATTTTCTCATTGATGAGACAAAATACCTGACTCCCAAGTTAAAGAACAAAAGGTTCATTTGGCTCACAGTTTGAAGATGTTTCAGTCCATAATCAGCTCTCTCTAATGCAGGACCATATCACAGAGAAGAAACAACAGTTCATAGCATGCAAAGTAGGTTACAGCAAAAATAGAGAGCATCAGCAGCCCTACCTTCCATTTTAACTGAAACACAGACTGGGGCACTTTTAACACCAGAATCACACCCTTAATTCAAAAATCACACAGGCTAGATCCAGCTACCTCCAAAAGCCTCACCAATGGCTGCATGAGCTTTTGGGTGGACAACTAGATATAAGCGAGAAAAATATTTAGAAAGAAACATTTAAGTTGCTGGATACACTAGATAAAACTCTTGAAGAAATAGGTATAGGTAAAGACTTTGTGTGCATGTGTGTGTGTGTGTACTTGTGAGTGTGTGTGTGTGTGTGTGTGTGTGTGTGTGCATGTGTGTGTGTGTGTGTGTGTCTACCTGGGATTGAACTCAAGACCTTACACTTGTCAGGCAGGCACTTACACCACTGAGATAAATTCCATAAATTCCTGGCCCGAGGCAAGGACCTTTCGAACAGAACATCAATGGCACAAGAAATAAAGTGAAAAATAAAGAATAGGGTTATAGTAAATTAAAAAGCATAGCAGAGAAAAGGAAACAATCCACAGAATGAAGGGACAACCTACAGATTGGGAATTAACATATTAATTCTTTTTATATACCCAAACTTTCCCTCTCTCACCCCTCACCCCTCCTTTAATCTCTTGGGTTTCCTCCCATTTGCAAAAGATCTATCTCTGTGTTTTCTATTAGCTATCCTTTATTTTCTTATTTAATTATTTTTGCTTGAGTTCCTCATATAAATGAAGTTATATAATATTTAAGCTCGTATATTTGATTTCATTTGCTTAATGTTATACTCCTGATTATCCAATTGCCTCCAAATGATTAAATTTTTCGTGGTTTCTGGCAAGATAGTACTTCATTGTGAAAAAGCATCGATTTTCTTTATCCATTCATCTGTTGATGGACATACAGGCTATTTCCAATGTTTGGCTATTATGAATTGTGCTAGTCTAACCATGGGTGTGCGCACACCATTGTCATATAATGTCTTTAGCACTTTTGAGAAAATACCCAGATGGGAAATAGCTGTGTATTATCTATATGTACCAACTCCCCAGGATAAATGTAATCATTACACATTGCAAAGTAAAAATCTGAAAAAATAATACTGTCATTCTTGAGGAAACTCAACAAAATGTCTAATATTCATTCTATGCATTGGGACTGATGTCATTATCCATCTTATGTGTACCAATAGCAATATGGGGATGCTTTGACAACCTGGTTTCATTTGAAGTAGTCCCTCAGGGCCTGGGGATTTACCTCAGTGGCATAAGCGCCTGCCTTGCAAGCAGGCAGTCATGAGTTTGATCCCCGGTACCGATAAAAATGAAAAGACAAAAAAAAAATTGAAAGTTGAGAGCATGACTGGCAGGGAGCCCTGCATCGACCTGCGGTGGGTGAGAGAAATGGGGACCCTTTCATAGACTAGGAGGCTCCAACAGAGGACATTCTGGGAACGAGCAGACTAGCCGGAACAGGGCCCTGCAGTGACTTAGTCGCATACTCCCCTCAAACAGGAGTGGTGGGGAGCGCTTGGCCTGGTGACACCACGGACTAAGATACATCAGGCTAGCCCAAATCAGGTCCCTGTGCCTGGCGGTGCACCCTAGCAGTGAAGCATTCAGTAGGTTGACCTGGAGGGGCGGGCCTAGCAGAGGCTGCCCAGGTCTGTGTCTCCCTAGTACACTGCAATGGGCGGGAACACCTAGCTGGCAGATTCAAACAAACTGTAACAGACAAAGAGAAGAAAAACACCTGGCCTCCTACATAGGCTTGTATGGAAGGAACAAAAAGTATGGGAAAAGGGAGCAAGAAGAAAGGATCCTCAGTCCCCAGTCCTGAGAACACTGATCCAGGAAATGTAAATGCAGAAGAGAATGAAGACAGAAAACATGCAATATCTGACATAGTGCCTATAGACATAAAGTGGTATCTCTGGAGCCTCATAGACAAGTTCAAAAATGAAGTATTTAATGAAATAAAGCAAGAAATAAGTAGAACAGTTAGAGAAATGCTAAGCCCTGCCCCCCCCCAAAAAAAAACAGATGGTGGAATGGAAGAACAGAAAAAAAAGGGGAATATTGATTGATGGAGAAAATAGAGAAAACATAGAATATGTCAAGCAGGTTCAAAGAGATTACCAAGAAACTAAAACCTCTATTGAAAGCTGGCATAGCGTCTTGAAAGAAACTAAGGATAGATTATCAGAACTGGAGGACAGATTTATAAGGTGGAAGCATGAAATGAAAAACTTCTAAAAAATAACAAGAAAACAAACAGCAATAATACAAAGACTAGAAGATGATAAGAGGATCTATAACGTAAGAATTAAGAACATAAAAGAAGAAGTAGGGACTCAAACAAATGAACTACAAAAGCTATTCACAGAAATAACCCAGGAGAATTTCCCTAATTTAGCAAAAAGTCAAGATACTCAGATGTATGAGGCATACAGGACCCCAGCCACCTACAACCCAAACAGAGCTACACTCAGACATATAATAAACAAAATTCCAGAAATCCAATATAAGAACAGAATATTAAAAGCTGTCAAAAACGGGAAGAAACAGATCACTTACAAGGGAACACCCATCAGAATCACAGCAGACTTCGGGGCACAAACCATCAAATCACGAAGAGCGTGGGAGGAAATAATTCAAGCTTTGAAAGATAATAACCTCCAGCCAAGATTGATATATCCTGCACAACTGTCCCTAGAAATTGATAGAAAAACAAGGTGCTTCCAGGATAAAGAGGAACTAGGGGAATTTGCAACCACCAATTCAACTCTACAGAGATTACTGCAGGATATTCTAAAAATGAAAAATACCAAGATTCCAAAAACAGTGGCAGAGCGGCCACAATGAATGGAGCAGAAAGCGAAATGAAGAGGACAAACTGACAACTAATGACAGAAAAAGAGCTCAACAGAAATGAGGCAGAGAAGGTTGGATGGTAGGAACAGCCATTTTGGAGAAAAAAGACATCAGAATAGATAGTGCTGATTTAATATCCTCTTGTTTTGAAGTCCCATCAAGCTTTTGTTCTTCTGTCTCCATCGGTTTTAACCTGTTGTATCTTATTGGATTTTATTATATGTGATAATATAAACAAAAACTTTTATAGACAAGGAGATTATAAAGAAACCATTGTTCCTTTTCTGTTAGTTGATTCTAAATGCCCTGTAATACTGTCATTCTCTTGAATGGTTTTACATTGTCTTGATATGTTTGATGCTACAGTATACGAAGTTCTACCCAAAGATTTTAAGGGAAGAGACACTATGGTAACTACTATTATGTTGAGATTATCTTGTGGTGAAACACTATTTTGTTTAAATGGCTATGTTTTGACCTGCACTGTTTTGTTGTTATGCCCTCTTTTTTATCTCAATCTCCTTTTTATTATCTACTTTTTCATTTTTATCCTTTTAATTAAAGAAAAAATAAATAAAAAATAGCAGGATATATTGTAGTAACCCACTTTGATTTCCTATTAACTTGATTTGAAACTCTGTATTGCTCTCACCATCTTGTTTTGACTGATTTTCCTCTATTCTGTTATGCTTGATAGTACCAAGTTTGAAAGTATAGACAACAACTATGAAGACAATAAGATTCATTGTGACGCCCATTCTGGTTGAATATTATCTTCTTTTGAAGTCCTCTAATGTCTCCAATGTTTTGGTTTTATTGGTCTTATTCTTCACTGTTTTGTTCAATTTTATTATAACTGATGATATAGGCAATTCTTTTTAAGATAACAAGAGGCATTATGGTAACCATTGTTGATCACCTTGTATTTTGTTTTTACATTATGTAAAATGTAATATATTATGTTTGTATTACGTCCATTCTTTTGATTTGACTGACTCTGTCCTGTTATGTCACATTTGGTTTTACTTTCGTCAAAAAAACAGTAGTAAGAACTGTGGGAGTAATAAAACCCACAATGTGTAATTGTCATTGTACAAAAGAAAAGAAAAGAAAGTTCTCTAAAAGATATAACCGCATATATGTTTAAGTGTATAAGATAGATAACCATATTGCTGAGTTTTGTTGGATCATTGAACAAAACTGTCTGCTGTCTCACTGTTTGAAAGTCCCCTCTATATGCTTTACTTGTGTAACTTCAACAACTATTTCTAAGATGACAATATAATTAACTAGTGATTTCCTACTGTTTATTTTTTCTGAAATTCTCTATAACTTATACCCTTTTTCTGGTTTTTTTTCTCCTTAAATAAAATTTTTTTTAAAAATGAAGTAATCCCTCAAAGTGGAAGCACAGCAGTGTAAGACACTCGAGAGTCATCATCACCATATGCCTTTTGGGCCCATTTTTCCATAAGAAAAGAGCCACAGATACATATGAATGGACCAAATATGAATGTGGGTAATCCCTTTCTTCTGTGGTGCACTACTATTATCTTCTTTAAGATATACAGTTTTGGAATGCTCGCTCAATGTGAGTTAGGAAGGGGTAGATAAATCCTCCTCCTTGCCCTTTATTCTTTCCACTATTTAAAGGGGCTACGTGAGAGGGTCCTGGGGAGACAATGTCTTCTGTAGTGCTGTCACACTCTAACACTCCAAACTCTAAAGACATAGCTGACATGGAATCACTCCACAGTACATACTCTTTTGAAAACTCCTACAGTTCTTCACCCTTGCATGAAAAAAAAATTCATAGAAACACCAAGCCTTCAACAAAATTTATTTATTTTCCTTGGCTCAGCCACTGCATTCTAGACACTAGGTAAGTTAGTCTCCATCACAGGGACCTGGTAGTTGAGAGAAGAATCGTGGGTCCCATAGGAGGACAGTGTCAGCGATAGAACAAGAGCACAGCTGCCTCAGTTATCTCCCGGCTACTGCTCGATCCAATATGAGTTCCATATCCGTTCCAGTCAAAGGCAGAGAAGTCTCCACACTGCACAGGATTGCCCTCTGGGAAGAAGCCTCCTCCACCAATGCAGTGCTACAAAAGAAGGAAAGGAGAGCTTGGAATTAGCTCAGTGGCATAAGTGTCTGCTCTGCAAACACACAGTTGTGAGTTTGATCCCTATTACAAAAAAAAAAAAAAAGGAGGAAAGGGTAATGAGAGATCAGCAGGTAAAGCTAAAGATATCTCAGTGGCAAAGTCTTTGTTCCACATTGGAAATGTCCATTGGTGGTATGGTCTATTACACTCATAACAATCTCTCTTCCTTTAGTTTTATTTCCATCATGCCTTCTGACTTTCTTTCCACTTTTCTAAACATTCATTCTCAGTGTCCCTGATAAAATTCTTCTTGAATTCCTTTGGTGCTCTTGCCTAGGAGGGGACATATCTCTCTCTTTCTTAAAGACTGTAAGACTCTCTTGGTCTTACACCCTACACGCCAAAGCTGCAAAACACCCTGCAGCTCCCTCAACATCACATCCTTTCTGAAACACTAGGAGCCCTGAGCATATATCCGTCAACATGTTACATTACTACCTCATGGATTTTTGCCTATGTCTCAAGAATCAGCTTACAAGTTGCCTCTTCTGTAGTTGTTGCTCTGATGCACCCAGCACAGTTGCAAGATTTGTAGCCCCTAGTTGTTTCTGTTTTGTTTTGCAGGGATTGGTGAACACCAAACCCAGGGCTTCACACATCTGACGTAAGCACTGTAACACTTGGCTCCCTTCCCAGGCCCCTTGTTTGTATATCCATTATGCTTCAAGGCTTCACACAGTAATGACATCTTTGTGTCAATGTCCTGCTAGATGCTGGACAAGGAACACAGGATCCTGTGTTGCTGAACAGTACAGGGGACGTGCTCCCTGCAAGCTTCTCTAAGGTGTGAGTGGAACCATGCACACTGCATTTCTTGTGCTTCAGGCCATGGCTGAAAGGTGCCATGAAAGACAGATTGTCACAAAGATTGGCACTAGTGCCCCTCAGTGACACTCTCCATTATGCCTTGAGGGTCGTCCTTGACAGTGAAGCTGCCTCATCCTAACTGGGAAACAGATAAGCTGATGGCTGAGCAATGAAAAAAGAAAATGAGGTCCTCAGGGTCACCTGGCAACAGCTCAGGACCTTTTTCAGACTGCTAGTGAGAGGAAGACTGAGGCTCAAGATATCCCTTATCACTGTCTTTTGGACAAAAGCCTTATTGACTGGTGTGGGGATGGAGTGGGGACAACTGAGTATAGCCCTGTTGGCAGGCAGTCTCTCAGGTGACCTCAGGCTGAAGTACTTTGTGGGAGGGACAAGGGTACGTTGGCTGTGTTCCACTATTATATCAGGACTTCCCTCACAGTTCCCCCGCAGTGTGTATCTATGGAAGCCCCAAACACAAGGAACACCAAAATTTATTCTGAAAACTAAAAGTCAGTAGAAGGACATGGCTGGGTGTTGGTCAGTGTTAGCTCCAAAATGTTTCACAGGCTGTTCCTGAACATAAGACTCACCCTAACCTCAAGCAACTGAGTGATTTTGGCCAAAAGTTGAGCAAATATCAATGGTGCGCTTGACCCTCAATTCTTGATTTGGGTCTTCAAAGAGACAGAGTATCTATTCGTGAACAGTACACACACACACACAGAGAGAGAGAGAGAGAGAGAGAGAGAGAGAGAGAGAGAGAGACAGAGAGAGACAGAGAGGGACAGAAAGACAAACAGCACATTTCTCAAAGATCCCTTTGGAATCCACAACAACTCACAATTTCAGTGTTACACCCGGTGACCTTCATTCCAGCACACAAGGCATTCGCTGCTCCCTCGTTATTAAATACTCTGAACTGGACATATCCTGCAGTGAACTCATCTGCAAACAAGAAGGAGAAAAAAAATTCAAGGAAGATAGTGGAAATCGATTCCTTTAGACCAGGACAGAAGCTGTCTGTGCCAAACTGAGTTTCCAGACCCACATTTCAGCTTACCAGTGGACCCCAAAACGACTGTGCCCAGTGCATGGTTTCTGCCAGGAACAAGTCTGGCCAAAAGAGACCTTGCCACACCCAAAAGTCCAACAGTTTGTCCTCACAGGTTCCCCTGCACTCTCAGAGGTTTGCACAGAGAGAACCCAACAATGCAAGAAAATCACCAATTAGCATCACTCCACATACATTACAGCAGTTGGCAAGGCACTCACACTGATCCTCTTCACGCTTTTCTTTTTCTCTTTTATTATAAGGTCTCTAATCCCAATTATACATAATAGCAGCTGGGGATTTTATAGCACAGGCTCAGCCTATAGGATGGATAGGCTGCCAAATTCAGATTTAGGTTAAACAAATTTATAGTTCATTTATAGTTCCCACTCACAATAGAAATACAATTGTCTCAACATTGTTGCTCTTCCTTGTGCACGTGGGTGTTGCCTGATACTGACAACTTACCAAAGGACAAGAAATAGAGTTGTTAAAAGTAGAGTGCAGAGGCAAATTTCTCTAGTCCAAATTCTAGCCAACCCACCCATGCCTCTGAAATGAGGTAAATACCTGAACCCCCCCCCTGCTTGCTTCCTAACCTGCACAAAGGAAGCAATATTACTTCAGACCTCAACGGTTGCCATGCAGATTAGAGGATGCAATACTGTGCACATAACATGCATAGAGGAGAACCAGGCTGCAGTATGTGATAGATAACTGCTACCCACTGTAAGTGAATTTATCATCTTTCCTACAAAGATTTCAGAGGAGCACTGAGGACTCACTGCGGCCATTGGGGGAGTAATAAGAGGCTGTCTTCTCAGCATCACCAAAATCATAGACCACAGGTATCGCAGGCCCATTATCAGTCCAACACTTTCCTGTTCCATATTTCACTGGGTATTTCTGTGGGAAATGAAGCAGTCATTAGACAAGGACAATAGCATCGGCTCTCACTGGGATGCTGCACAGAGGAGAAATATTTGGATCTTGATAACAAAGATTTATTTTATTTTATTTTATTTCTATTTTTATTTTTATTTTTATGATGCTGGGGATCAAACCTATGATCTTGCCATACAAACCAAGATCTCTATCCATGAGCCACATTCCTAGCCCACTCAGATATTGTTTAATTTTTACATAACATAGGAATCTTTCTTTCTGGCTATGCTTATCCTACATACCACCCTCCTTGCACGCCCTCTCAAATTCTCTTGCTTTACCCATTTCTGATCTTTCTTCTACAGTTCACTCTAATGTGTCTCTTGCTTTCCCTGGGTCAGATTAATTGGAGGAGAAGCTAGGAGTAAATTATGGAAGAGAAAACAGGCAAAATAGCCTCAGGGGGAAATGACTCCTTCCTGAACTCAAATACTTGCTGCTCTCTATAGTATGAAAATCAGCTCAGCCAGGAGCCCTGTGTACCTGATAGAGTCCAAACAGATTATGTTCCAGGTGCTGGAAGAAGCCAACTGCTGTGCGGTACCTCAGCAGGGAGTTATTCCTCCAATTCTCCAAGGGGCTATTGTTGGGAACATGCCAGATGCCCAGGTCCAGGGCCTGGATGTCGTAGTAGCCTGGATTCTGTAAAGCAAACAACAATGAGCCTGACCAGGCCCTGAGACCCCATGAGAAAAACAAAACACACACGTCAACCTTCAGCTGAGCTGATAGCTGTTTTCAGTGTATAGTTGGAAAGGTGAGATCAGACACTCCCAAATCCAGAAGATAATGGCTTCCACCACCACTCAAGAGCTCTAGTTTTATTGGGTTTTCTTGGGAGGAACTGACCTTGAAGGCATGTGTTTCTCTCACCTGCTCCAGGTGTAAATCCACACCCCATATTCCAAACATCCCTGCTGCATATTTGTGATGTTGTCACACTCTAGGCTGCCCCACTTCCCACAATGGTGGCAAAGGCACCAACCTTGTAGTCATCACTTGTAGCTGCCTCTGCAGTCCCAAAAGTGTTGTAGTTGGCCCAGTTGCCATCACCTTCGGGGTAGTCAGCTCTGTTTCCCTGTTGACTGGACCAACGGTCACCCACTGTGCACTTCCCATACATGTTGTTCTCATGCACACTGGCCACCAGGGTCCAGCCTCCACCCGCAGTGGTCATGTCACAGAAGGTCTGGTAAATGACGCCATTCTTGGTGCGAAGGAAATACAGGCCATCTGTAAGGAGAAGCAGCCCAGAGCCTACCTGTCTGCATGCAAGGCACATTTCAGCCACAAAGTCAGGACAGCTCTTGAAAAATAAACACGGCCCCAACACTCCTCACTTGGGCCTATCATTTGGTGTCCTTAGCACTACTGGCTCTCCTGAGCTCAGAAGACCACATCCCTGGGAATGAGTCAAAACAGAGTTACCCAAACTCCGTGAAACTCTGCCTAAAGATAAACATGGAATTATCACTATTCAGCAATTCCATCCCAAATATATATCCAAAAGACTGAAGCCTGAACTCCAATCAATATTTGTATGGTAATACTCATGGCATTATGGATCACAACATGCAAAAGGTAGAAACAACCCCAGTGTCCCTCAACAGATGGATGCATAAGCAAAACATTGTGCCTAGGCGTAGAGGTACAGTGTCTATTACATATATAGTATACATCTACTGATAAATGTGTGCAAACACAATGGTTGGAGTTCAACAGAAATCAAATATCCATGCTATAACACGTATGAATCTTGTTGATATTATTTAAGAAGAATAAGCTAAGCACAAAAAGACAAATCATTTATGATCTACTTATAAAAGGTAACTTAAATAAGCAAATTTATCCAAAGCATAAATAGAACAATATAGAAAAGGAGATATGAAGGTATTGCTTAGTGGCTAGAGTCTCAATTAAAGGAAATGCAAATTTTCTGGAGAAGTGACGGTTGCTTAGCAATATAAAAATAATTTATGCCCACACAAATGAATGCTTAAAAATAATTGAAATCATAAACTTTATCCAGTAAAAATGTATGGACTATTTCCCATTCTTTGTATACAAAAAGTAAAACCTCCCAGAAAGCTTGGCTCTGCTAGAATGTCTATCCTGCAACACTCACCACGGGCATTACGGCACCTCTGCTTCACTTCATTGCAGCTTCGGGGCAGAAATCCAGACAAAGAACAGGTGTCTTCCTCAAGATAGGCACCGGTCACAGCTGGAAAAAATACGGGAGTTTCATTCTCATTGCTGGTTTGACACAAAACTCAGCTTCCCCTTATCGTTAATCTCAAACTCATTTCTCCACTGAACCAGGGCTTCACTGCCTGGATTAATGACCCTGAGATAGCCAGTGTCATCTCCATTCAGCCCATCAGGCCTGGTATCCAGCGCAGACTTAACACATACGTCTCCACATAACCTGAAGCAGATGCTAGCCACTGCCCTGGGCATTGGGTACTCAAAAGAATTAAACACCTTCCCCTTCCAAAAAATAAAATAAAATACCAAAAACAAACAAAGCAAAAAAATCCTCTACAAGCGAGTTTCTAAAAACCCAACAAATGGCCAGGGATTTAGTGCAGTAGTCTAACTGCCTGCTTGGCCAGCACAAGGTTATAAGTCCAAGCCCCGGTACTAGATGGGAAGCCAAACAGTCCTTAGCAGGGTCCCTTCAAAGTAAAGTGAGGCCAAAGCATGAACCAAGGTGGGCCTGAGCAACATGCTCCCTGCTACAGGTCAAATCCCTCAAGAGGTCAGAAATCAGCATTCAGCCTATATCCAAGGTGACCTGAGCTCATCTCAAAGATGTCATCTTAAGCTCATAAGAGGATCAGATCCTGGAAGTAACTCAGCTGCTTATTTTTTTCCAAAACTAAAGATGAGCTGGGAAGTCCAGGCTCCTGGAAGAGACTCACCTGCAATGCACCCTCGAGTGGCTACCATCAGCAGCACCAGGCAACCAAGCTGCATCGTGGCAATCTGACAAAAAGCAAAATGAAAGTCACTATTGTAACCATTCTTCTTCCATGTCCTTGTCACTACCATACTACTTTCTAGTCCAATACACACTAAAGTGTTTTCGGCTCTTTTTCTGTCTTTTTTTCTTAACTCCGTACATCGGGCACTTAAACCAGAACTGGGCAGAAACTATTCTTCCCATAACTCACAGACAGCATCCCTCTTCCCTCCACTCTGGACCCGGAGCTGAGCATTGCCAACCAAGTGTGTGTTTCCTCCACAGAAATAATGATCAAGAACAAGGCTCTGACCTTTTTATGGAGAAATCCCAGTGGGCACTGCCCAGATCTCCAGCCTCACCCTCTACTGGCATTATGCCCAGTGCAGGTGAGGCTTCTGTTCACATCAGGCAAGGCTCTTTATTGACAACAGAAAGAGCTGGCAGTCAAGCACAATTCTTAACAGTCATTTACTAGCATTGCTTCCAGATTCAGAAATTTCATGAACCAATTACCCTCAAATTTTTTTTTTTTTAATTTTATTTAAGGAGAAAAAGAAATTAAAAAAAACAGAAAGATGGTACAAGTTATACAGAATTGTACAAAAATAAACAGTAGGAAATTACTAGTTAATAGTTACATATTCTCATCTTAAAAATAGTTGTTCAAGTTACAAAATTAAAGCATATAAAGTGGACATTCAAACAGTAAGACTGCAAAAAGTTCTGTTCAATTACCCAACAAAAACTCAGTTATACGGTTATCTATCTTATACATTTAAATATACATGCAAGTTACACCCTTTAGAGCACTTTCTTTTCCTCTCTTTTTTACAATGACCATTACACCTTTTGGGTTTTATTACTCCCACAGTTCTTATTACTTTTTTCTGAAGAGAATAAAACCAAATGTGACATAACAAAACAGAGTCAGTCAAATCAAAAGGATGGACATAGTACATAATGTAACAACAGAATACAAAGTGATCAACAATGGTTACCATAATGCCTCTTGCTATCTTAAAAAAATTGCCTATATCATCAGTTATAATAAAATTGAACAAAACAGTAAAGAACAAAACCAATAAAACCAAAACACTGGAAACATTACAAGACATCAAAAGAAGATAATAGTCAAACCAGAATGGGCGTCATAGTGAATCTTATTGTCCTCACAGTTGCTGCCTATACCAAACTTGGTACTATCAAGCAAAACAGTATAGAGGAAAACCAGTCAAAGCAAGATGGTGAGAGCAATACAGGGTTTCAAATCAAGTTAATAGGAAATCAAAGTGGGTTACTATGATATGTCCTGCTATTTTTTATTTTATTTATTTTTTCCCTTAATTAAAAAGATAAAAATAAAAAAATAAATAATAAAAAAGGAGATTGAGATAAAAGAAGACATAACAACAAAACAGAACATAACCATTTAAGCAAAATAGTGTTTCACCATAAGAAATCCCAACATGAAAGTAGTTACCATAGTGTCTCTTTCCTTGAAATCTTTGAGTATAACTTTGTATACTGTAGCATCAAACATATCAAGACAATGTAAAACCATTCAAGAGAAATGACAGTTTTACAGGGTATTAGAACCAACTAACAGAAAATGAACAATGGTTTCTTATTATCTCCTTGTCTATAAAAGGTTTTGTTTATATTATCACATGTAATAAAATCCAATAAGATACAACATGTTAAGACCGATGGAGACAGAAGAACAAAAGCTTGATGGGACTTCAAAACAAGATGATATTAAGTCAGCACTAGCTATTATGATGTCTTGTTTTCTCCAAAATAGGTGTTCCTACTATCCAACCTTCTCTGCCTCATTTCTGTTGAGCTCTTTTTCTGTCATTAGTTGTCAGTTTGTCTTCTTCATTTTGCTTTCTACTCCATTCATTGCGGCGTCTCTGCCACTGTTGCTGGAATCTTGGTATTTTTCTCTTTTAGAATGTCCTGCAGTATTCTCTGTAGAGTTGAACTGGTGGTTGCAAATTCCCCTAGTTCCTCTTTTCCTGGAAGCACCTTGTTTTTCCATTAATTTCTAGGGACAGTTGTGCAGGATATATCAATCTTGGCTGGAGGTTATTATCTTTCAAAGCTTGAATTATTTCCTCCCATGCTCTTCGTGATTTGATGGTTTGTGCCAAGAAGTCTGCTGTAATTCTGATGGGTGTTCCCTTGTAAGTGATCTGTTTCTTGTCTCTGGTGGCTTTTAATATTCTGTTCTTATATTGGATTTCTGCAACTTTGATTATTATATGCCTGGGTGTTGTTCTGTTTGGGTGGTAGGTGGCTGGGGTCTTGTATGCCTCATACATCTGAGTATCTTTACCATTTTCTAAGTTAGGAAAATTCTCCTGGATTATTTCTGTGAATAGCCTTTGTAGTTCATTTGTTTGTGTCCCTACTTCTTCTTTTACATTCTTAATTCTTAAGTTATGGATCCTCTTATCATCTTCAAGCCTTTGTATTATTGCTGTTTGTTTTCTTGCTATTTTTAAGAAGTTTTCATTTCATGCTCCCACATTACAAATCTGTCCTCCAGTTTAGATAATCTATCCTTAGTTTCTTTCAAGCTGTTATGCCAGCTTTCAATAGAGTTTTTAGCTTCCTGGTAATCTCTTTGAACCTGCTTCACGTATTCTATGTTTTCACTATTTTCTCCATCAAACAATTTTCCCCTTTTTTTCTGTTCTTCCTTTCCACCATCTGTTTTTTCTTGGGCAGTGCTTAGCATTTCTCTAACTATTCTACTTACATCTTGATTTAGATAATTAAATACTTCCATTTTGAACTTGTCTATGAGGCTCTGGAGATATCGCTTTATGTCTATTGATGCTGTGTCTGATATTGCATGTTTCCTGTCCTCATTCTCCTTTGCATTTACCTTTCCTGGATCAGTGTTCTCAGGATTGGGGGCAGAGGACCCTTTCTTGTTGCTCCCTCTTCCCATATTTTTTGTTCCTTCCATACAAGCTTATATAGGAGGCCCAGTTTCTTTCTTTGTGGGTTGCAGTTTGTTTGAATCCACCAGCTAGGTGTTCCTGCCCACTGCAGTGTACTAGGGAGACCCAGACCTGGGCAGCCTCTGCTCTGCCTGCCCCTCCAGGTCAGTGAACCTACTAAAGGCTTCACTGCTAGGGTGCACCACCAGGCACTGGGACCTGGTTTGGGCTAGCCTACTGGGTCTTAGTCCGTGGTGTCACCCAGGTCAGGGCTCCCTACCAGGGCTCCCTGCTTGAGGGGGGAATATGTGACTAAAGTCACTGCAGCATCCTGTTCTGGCTAGTCTGCCCGGTCCCAGAATGTCCTCTGTTGAAGCCTCCTAGTCTATGAAAGGGTCCCTGTTCCTCTCACTCATTGCAGGTCAATGCAGAGCTCCCCTACAGTCCCACTCTCAACTCCATTTGGTTCACCAATTCCCGCTCTCAAAGCTTTCACGTGCTCTCTCTCCCTGCTGTGCTGATTGGGATGCAGCAACGGCAGCAGGAAATTCAAATCAAGGCTTCCAGAGGCGTGGGTTCCAGTTTCCGCACTGAGATTTTATCTATTCCTGTTATAGCATCAGGATTGCATTTCCTGTTGGTTTCTCTCAGCTTAGTTCGTTCTTGGGTCATCAGGGTATATGTTCCCTTGCTTAGGACTCCTCACACTGTATCATTGCTGGATTCTAAGCTGGCAATCTCAGAGAGCCTTCGTAGCTGCTATTATGTGTCCACCATGTTCTCCCAGAAGTCCAGTTTTCCATCTTCTTGACCTAGCTTTAGTACTTCATACATTTCTAGCAATCTGTCTATTTCTTCTGTGTTATCAAACCTATGAGAGTAGAGGTTTTCGAAATAGGTGTTGATGATATTGTGTACTTCTACAGACTCTGTAGTGATTTTGCCTTTTTCATTCCTTATTGCATGAATTTGAGCTTTTTCTTCCCTTTTTAAAATAATGTCAGCTAGGGGCTTATCAATTTTATTTATTCTTTCAAAGAACCAACTCTTTGATTCATTGATTTTTTGGATTGATTTCTTAGTCTTTATTGCATTAATTTATGCTCTGATTTTTATAATTTCCTCCCTTCTTTTGGCTTTGCGCTTGAATTGCCCTTTTTTTCTAGATGTTTGAGGTGTAGCATCAGGTTATTTATTTGTATTCATTCTGTTTTCCTAATGTAGCAACTCAGTGCAATAGATTTTCCTCTGAGGACAGCTTTCATTGCATACCACAGATTCCGGTAAGTTGTATTTGTATTTTCATTTGCATGTATGTATTTTTTATTTTCTTCTTTAATTTCCCCTATGACCCACTGATTACTCAACAGTGTGTTTTAGTTTCCATGTGTTTGTGGGATTTTTGCAGTATCTTTTATCATTAATTTCTAATTTCATAGCAGTATGATCTGATGACATGCATGGGATAATTTCAACTCTTTTGCATTTATTTAAATATGTTTTGTGAGCTAATATATGGTCTATTTGAGAGAATGACCCATGTACTTCTGAGAAGAATGTATATTCTGATGTTGTTGGATGGAACACTCTGTATATGTCTATCAAGTCAGTTTGTTCACAAGTATGGTTCAGTTCTGTTATGTTTTTGCTGATTTTCTGTCTGGTTGATCTGTCCTTTGGCGTCAATGTGTGTTAAGGTCTCCTGTTATAATTGTGTTACTGCTAATTTGGTTTTTCATTTCTGTTAATACTTGTTTTATGTAACTGGGTGCTCTGGAATTTGGTGCATATATATTTAAGATAGTTATCTCTTCCTCTTGAAGTTTTCCCAAACCAATACATAATGATCTTCTTTGTCTCTTCTGATCTTTCTTGGTTTGAAGTTCACATTGTCTGCAAACAGAATAGCTACCCCCACTTTGTTTTGAGTTCCTGTTGCACAAACTATTGTTTTCTGTCCTTTGACTTTCAATCTGTGAGTATCCTTTTGGGTTAGATGAGTCTCTTGTAGACAGCGTATGGTTGGATTTTGCTTCTTGATCCATTCTGCCAGTCTATTTCTTTTAATTGGTATATTGAGACCATTTACATTAATCATTATAGCTGTTATATGTTGGTTTATTATTGACATGTTATCTTTCTGCTGTTGAATCTTTATCTTTCTCTTCTGTTTAATTGTCTGCTTTGCCTAGTGGTTTTTTCCTCAGTGTGTATAAACTGTCTTTCGATATTCTTTGGTGACCATGAAGTTTTTCAGCTGTTCTTTGTCATGGAAGTATCTTATTTCTCCATCGATTTTGAAGGACAGTTTTTCAGGGTACATCAGTCTAGTTTGGAAATCATTTT